ATATTATTAAGTTCTGCCACCAGTTTAGATGAAACATCTAATATTTCTTCTACTTTTTCAGTTTTTTCTTCTGTATCCTCCATATCATTATCGTCATCATCATCAAGGTCTTCCCAGGTAAGTTTATTTGCTTCTTTTTCAATTCGTTCTAAAAACTTATTAACGTTTTTAAAAATTCTCTTCTTATAAAATTCCTCACAATATCTACATTTTCCTTGGTAACAAATTGTATGATAACCATGGCTACAAACAAACACTATGCCGTCATTATTAACAAAAGAAAGTCCACAATAGTCGTATAATTTGGGGTCCGGGGATATGCTGTGCTGTAAACCGTTGGTAGATACTGTAGGTTCACATTTTTCTCTAAAGTGGCAAGTTGATATATCTTAAATAGCTTTTTTTTTTTTTTTTGTCAGATTTTGGTGTACTTTTTCCACGATTGTAATATAAATTTTGAAAATATTGTAAAAGAAAGAGCGCTACTCTATCATATAATAAATTTATTGCTTTTAAAGTATATAGATACCATCGTGTTTTGCAATAGATATTCTTAAACATAGGATCGTGGTTCATAATTACATAGGCTTGTTTAATAATATTTTCAGCTGTTGTATTAGGGAATGTGTTGGCTCTTATTTTGCTGTGTACATTTTCCACGTAATATTCGTTAAAACATGTTAAATGTTCCTGCACTGCTTTTAAAAAAGGATGATTAGTATCATTCTAATAAAATATATCCAACAAAAATGCTAGATGTGCTTTATTATAGTTCTTTCGCTTTCAACGAAGAGCGAAAGTCCAAATACGAAAAATAATTATCATATATTCATAAAAGTGACTCGGTCGAAATATTAATGCATAGACGTCAAGTATCACGAGAACTAAATTGTTAAGCAAATCTATCATAGTTCAATACTCGATGTTCTTGCACAATCGGCCAAATTTTTTAATAATTTTATCTTTAATAAATTCAATTCTCTTTATATTCGCAATTTCACTAAATCATTTCATTTCTTCACTTATTTTTTGTTCACTACTTATATCTTGAAAAACATGATTGTTAGCTTTTAGATTTACAAATTGGGTTTTTTTTATTTGAGCCCGATAACGACTTGATTCACCAGTAAAACCAGGACATGTACGAGGTTCTTGGGTTTCACTTTCAGAATACCCTATTAGCTTAAAA